TCGAACTTGACAGTTTGCTGGCCACGCCAGCAGTTCTGACTTCCAGTTCCAAGTAGTTACCATGCGCTTTTCATAACACTCTTTTTAGATCTTGAACCACCTCAACAGTTTGCATCCTTGGGGTAAATTGGGCATCATTAGCACGTCGTGGCATGTAATATGTTGACAAATAAAATGTCCATAATTCAAACAGACCCTATTAGGATTATATGGTAGCATTTTCAGTGAGGTACAACTTGTTGTCTTCGAAGCATGGTGATTTCCTTATGCCTTATAGGTGCTGACTTTCCTGAGTACCAGACCAGAGTAGGATATAATCGCTCGGCCCTTCTCCTCACGTGAACTCTGGTGACTTTTCTCTCTACATTTCAGCATGACTGAAATGTGGCGTGTGTCTTCTCTGTCGTGTCTGCTTCATGCTTATGGCACTAGTCAGAGTGCTCTTGGCTTAGATAGCTTTAGTCCAACAAGCAATAATTATGTTCCCCAAAATTTGGAAGCTGTAAGATAAGATATATTTTTGAAACATATATGTACATATATGTTTGAATATTTATTTTTCTGAATAGTTTGTATTCATCTGTTCTTATTCCCTAGCTCCATTTTCATTCCCTGCTTTCTCCATTTGATATATTGTGTAGGGCGTTATTGTAAACGAGCACATATATATCAGCAGATAAACATTTTTAGATGCATCCAGTGAATAGGTATCTGGTTATCCTTTAAGGTAAAATAAGTTTGCTTTTGCATATTAATATTAATTACCTTTTGTTCATTAATAGTCACTGTGCTAGAAACTTTATGCGTTGTTTTATTAAAATCCTATATAGAAGATACATTTGTAGTAAAAGTTGCAAGTGGTATGGAAAGTAAAATGTGAAACTTCTCCACCTTCCCACATGGCCCAGTCCAACCTTTTGTCGTGAAATAATGGTAGCATTTTCTTAAGTCCTTCTAGGAATTATCTGTGTGTTCTAACCATGTATTTGTGTCTCCCTCACATTTTGAACAAACTGGATTCATATCATGTAGGCTGTTCTGCAACTAGGGTTTATTTACACATGAAGATCGGCTTTGGACTTCTTTCCATAGCAGTAACCCTGAGCCAACACATTTGTGTTCCTGTTGTACAGCACACCCAACGTATGGACATGACAGAGTTTAATTCTCGTATTGATTTAGTTCGTTTCCTGTTTTCACTGGTACAAACAGTGGTGCGGTCAATAACTTTATCCATACATCATCTTTACACATTGTTCAAATATGTCCAAAGGATAAATGCCTAGTAGACTCGTTGGTCAAAGATGAGGGTATTTTAAATTTTGATTAATTGCTCTCTTAGAGGGTTGAACCAATTTGCATTTCAAACAAATTTAACTCTAAGAACAAGCAAGACTTAGAGACCCTAAGAGTGTGAGTAACTTGACCCAGGTTCTCAACTTTCAAACGCAGACCCGGCCAGGCCAGGCTGTTTCTTCCAAGATACAGATGTCTCGGCTGCCATCTTAAAACACAGCTCTGGCTTTCAGACTAGGGAGCAGCATTCTGTATTTTTTTTTATATTCTCACTCAATGAAGCAATAATGATAATTCTTCCATTATAAAAACATTGCCCTTTATAGTTCTCAAAACATTTTTATATTCTCATAATGATCTATGAGATGGACATTGATTACTAGCCTGATTCATACATTTGAAGAACTGAGGCTCAAAGGCAAAACACTTAAATCTTAAAATATAATCAAAAGATGGTTCTTGGCCAAAGGCCTTGTAGCCCCCACACGGCGGAAGCACCCAGAACATTAAAATGCTAGTAGAAGAGGTGAAACGGGGAGATGCGATTAGTGGCTGTGACTGTATTGCCGTTGGCATATTAAACGCATGAACAGGAAACACACTAAAGTCTCTGGCCACGGGCCCCATCACACCTCCAGAAGAGCTGTTTTCTGGCAGCCCTGTGTATTATGGCCCCGGGGAAAACGGGTGATTTCAACATAGCTGTCTTTTAAAATTGTTCATTATATTTGATCCAAAACTGAGTTTAAATTCCCACCATGAATACCATGATCATTGCATTTCCAATCGGAGAGCATTACATTTACAGTAGCTCCTTTTTTATGATGTTGACTCGCCCTCTGTCTCATCCTCTTTCCTGTTCTATCCTAGGTTCAAATCAAATCTTTTTCTCATTTGTCTCGGTTCTAAGAGAGAAGCTCTTTTTCTATATGGCCATGGGTCAGCTCTTGAGTTCAGATGGAAGCTTTGCTGTTCTCCTGGTCCCCGAATCCTACATAAGTGCATCTACTGAACTTGATCCATAGACATCTCTTAGGACAATCTTTCTTCTGGTTTTGCTTTTTATTATTTTTTTACTTCTAATTCATAACTTATAAAGTCAATATGATTTTTCTTATTTTATGATTAAAGACACAATCATAGAAAGCTCATGTGACTTACTTCAACTACAAGCCAGAGTTCAAATTATTCTTTACTATCCACTAGCTCCTAATTCATCGCAAGAGGTCTCCAAGTTACGAAACAGGTTTTGTTCCAGAAATTCATTTGTAAGTCAGTGATTTGGCATTCGAACTGCATTTTACCACATTCGGGGGGAAAATGTTATAAATGGTGATTGAGTCCCTTGGCTGGCCTGCAAAAATCTGTTTAACTCTTGTGTAACTACAAAATGATGCATTTGTAATTTTAAAAAAAGAGGGAATGATAGTTGTAATTCTGGTTACAAAGAAAAAGAAAAACTATTATAACTATTTAAAAAATATTTGTATTGATTTCAGAGATGAAGGGAGGGGGGTAGAAACATCAATGATGAAGGAGAATCATTGATCGGCTGCCTCCTGCACACCCTACACTGGACATCGAGCCCATAACTCGGGCATGTGCTCTGACTGGGAATTGAACCGTGATCTCCTGGTTCATAGGTCAGTGCTCAACCACTGAGCCACGCTGGCCCAGCAAAAAATTACTTTTTCCTGAGGAAAAGCAGATTTGGTTAGAAGATAGGGAAACATGGAATTGACAAGAGCTCAGAGGACATGTTAGAGCACTTGGGAGGGTGTTGGAGAAAGATTGATGGCCTCTGTGTTAAGCCCAGCTTCACTTGAAAACTGAGGATTTTATTGTTAGACTAGAGGCCCGGTGCACGAATTCATGCACCAGTGGGGTCCCTTGGCCTAGCCTGCGGGATCGGGCTGAAACCGGCTCTCCGACATCCCCCGAGGGGTCCAGGATTGTGAGAGGGCGCAGGCCAGGCCAAGAGACCCCACCGGTGTACAATCAGGGCCAGGGAGGGATACGGGAGGGCTCCAGGGTGTGTCTGGCCTGTCTCACTCAGTCCCGATTGGCTGGACACCAGCAGCAAGCTAACATTCCGGTCAGAGCGTCTGCCCACTGGTGGTCATAGCAAGCGGTTGAGCGGCCTTAGCGTATCATTAGCATATTATGCTTTAATTGGTCGAACAGACGACTGGACGACCGGACACTTAGCATATTAGGCTTTTATTATATAGGATACTTTTACTAGCACAACTCACCCAACAGCTGTGATTAGAGTTAATAAGATTGATTGAATGAAATACTTTAAAAAAAAAATAAACTCTGAAATATTAACCAACCTGGGATGGTAGAATCAAACCAGAAAAGTCTTCCTTCCATCCTCCTGATGGAAAGGGACTCATTGATTTTCCCATTCAGCCCAGTAGATCCCATCAACTAGCTTAGCTTGGCTGAGGTCAGGAGGGGAGGCTCCGGAGCATGAGTCATGGGTGGAGGCGAGAAGAAGAATGTGCCTTCAGTATTTGTAGAGTGAGAGCTTCCACTTCTGGGAAAGTTGGCTTCTTACATTATCTAGACTGCCTTTCACTTAAGCGTACAAATAAGCATCTTACATTTCAATTAACTTTTTTTACAAAGTGCCTTTTTAGATGGCCTTTATGTTCTGTTGTTTTCAGAGCATTTGCACACAGCGTTTTCCTTTTGTTAACAACAAAAGGGAGGATATGCCCTTTAGTAAACAGGAGCTTAAGTGAGCAGATCTTGCTGAGACAGCACATTGAGAAGTGGTGGAGGATTAGAGTTGGTGCCTCCCGGGTCAGTTGGGGCTCTTCCACTCCCTACCTGCCTTCCTACTAGCTGGATAAGAGAATACCTTTCACTGCCATTGCTTGGTGTTGGGTATGTTATCTGAATATTTTATAAAACATATAAAACTATATTTTATAGTATATATGTATACCCAGGAGTGACTCAGTGAAGGAGAGAGCAACGGTATTTACTGCAACAATGCAAAAGCCCTCTCAGTAGCCATTATAAAGACAGTGGGATTGGCAGACCCCTTTCAAAGTGATGATAAGGCTGATGAGAGAGGCAACAGCTCCTTGATTTGGTGTGTGTTTTGATATTTATAAATGCTTTGTCTTTTTATTAAAACAGTTGATTAAATTCCATCTCTCTTAGCTCTGATACGTATATAATGGAATGTACGTATGTGTGTGTGTCTGTGTGTGTGTGTGTGTTTGAGGAGTTTTATCTAAAAGGTAAATAAATCAGTAATGCTAAATTTGTCTCCTAGCATCATGGGTATCTTCCGGGCATGAGGATGCAGGTGGAAACTCTATGCATTGTTCGGGCATGTTCTGCTCGGAAGTGCCCCTGTTGAGTAGTGTTCACGGGGAGTGGAAACACCATGTCCGCAGACGGGAAAGAGGTGGTTTGTCGGGGTACCTGTGGTCCGCAGAGATGGGGGGAGGCTGGAGAGAAGGCGCTCCTGAAGCTGTTTTGCCTGCATAGAAGAGTGCCGCTCCAGAAGGGCTAGCGAGCCAAACCATTCTTTTCCTCTTGTTGGCTTTCATGTAAGGTTAAGTAGACCAATCAGAGCCAGAAGCCTTGTTTTCAAAGAGCTGTTTTTAAGTATCTTTCCTGACTTTCCACAGATTCGCCTGCCTCGCGATAACTGGATGATTTTATGTCATTGTCTTCCGTAGGGTCAGGAGATTGGAGCATGGCTATGAGCAATGGAAACAGCGATTGTGTGGTTCTGAGCAATGGCAGCCTCGCAGCCAGTGCAGCCCCCCCGAGCCCCCTGCCCCCCTCGGACGGAGACCTTGCCGCCCAGCAGCTCCCACCCAAAGAGGCACCAAGAGCCAAAGTGAGTCCAAACGGATGCCTGCAAGCGAATGGCACAGTCAAACCCTCCTTCCTGCCTTTAGACAACCAAAGAACGACGCAGCTGTTGCCGCCATGCTGCCACCCTTGCCCATACCATCACCCGTTGACTAGCCACAGCAGTCACCAGGAGTGCCACCCCGAGGCCGGCTCGGCGTCCCCGTCTGCTTTGGCCTCGTGTTGCCTGCAGCCCCACTCAGAGTATTCGGCACCCCTGTGTCCACACCATGCCCCCGTTTACCAGACCGCGTGCTGCCTCCAGCCCTCTCCCTCCTTCTGCCTGCATCACCCCTGGCCCGACCATTTTCAGCACCAGCCTGTGCCACAGCACGTAGCCAACATCAGGTGAGTGGTCCCAACGTTCGGCTAGTCGTCCGTCAGCATTCAGAATGTGACAGATTATATGGTATGGTCAGGGCACAGACAGCCAATAGTGCATAAATACGTGGACCAACAAATCTCTCTCAAAACCAACAAATTAACAACAACAAAAAAGATTTATGGAGCAGTGTGAGCCCGCTCCAGCATGGCTCAGCCTGGCTGGGCCCTGGAGGAGGGGCGTGTGGTTGGAGAGGAGAGGGGCGCTGGTACCAAGTCCTACAGGCACTGTCAGTCACGTTCAGGAGATCGCTAGACTTGATCCTGTGCCAGTGGGAGGTATTATGTGTGTGTGTGCGTGGTTTTTGTGTGTGTGTTTTTACTGTGGAAAAATATATATAACAAAAGTGATCATTTCACCATCTGTAAGTGTATAGTTCAGTAGCATTAAGTACATCCAGATGCCATGCAGTCGTCACCACCGTCCATCTCCAGAAGATTCTTCGTCTTCCCAAACTGCAGCTCCCTACCCATTAAGTCCAATCACTCCCCGTTAGCCTCACCCCCAGCTCCTGCCAACCACCATTCTCCTGTCTGTCACCAGGAATTTGGCTACTCTAGGGACCTCAGAGAATTGGAATCATAGCGTATTTGTGTCCTTTTATGAATGGCTGATTCCACTTAGCAAGGTTCATTCACGGTTCATCCAAGCCTTAGAGTAGTATGGCAGAATTCCCTCCCCTTCTAAGGCTGAATAACACCCCATTGTAGGCATGGAGAGGCCACAGTGCGTTTTCCCAGTCATCTGCCAGTGGACAGTTGGGTTGCCTCACCCTTTGGCTGTGGTGACTCACGCAGCTGTGAACCTGGGTAAACAACCATCTGTTTGCGTTCCTGCTTTCACTTCTTTCGGATCTACACCCAGAAGCACAATGACCGCATCCTATGGTCATTCTGTTTCACTCTTTGGGGAGCCAGCAAACCGTTTCCACAGCTGCTGTGGCGTTTTACATTCCCACCAGCAGTGCACATCCTTGCTCACACTTGTTCTTTTGTGTGGTTTTTTAAAAAAATTACAGCCGTCTTAATGGTTGTGACATTACAGATTTTTAAGCAAAAAGAAGTCCTGTCAGATTTGCATGTGAGAGAGGCCCCTGGTCTGTCTGCGTTGTAGAGAGCAGGCTGGACTGGGTCAGGACCATTGGTGAGAGGAGGACCAGGAGGAGGCTGGTTGCAGTAATTCAGGTGAGAGATGATGTGACTTGAACCAGGGTTTAGAAATCATTTCATGCTGGAGAGATTTACAGGTCCTGCATCCAGCTGGTCATGAGAATCACCTGGAGAGTTACAAAAAACATACGAATAATAGGAAGGGTTTTTTGCACTGGAAACAATAGAGACCCTAGGACAGGGGTGGGCAACCTTTTTGTGAGTGCGTGCCCAAACCAGCAAAATCTCTGACTCAAAATTCTTCTGCGTGCCAACCCTAATTTTTTGAGAACATGTTACGCCTACTTGATATCTCTTAAGGTGTACGTATGTGAAGAACCTTGAAGAAATAATAAAATTCATTCGAGCGACAAAAACACAGTATATGATGATGAAAAACACATTTATTTTTTAATGTATACATGTACACTGATAGTCCGACAGAAAACTTTATGACTCCATTTGATATTATCAGTGGGACTTTTGCTGCTGCATCACTGATGACAGAGATTTTACATCAGGTTTATATTTCGTGACCTTCAGAGATATGCACGAGCTACTACTTTCATCCGTCAGGCTACTCCTATTATGAGACTTAACAAAATTCATCACTGAGAACAAAGATTCACAAGCGTATGTGGATGAAACCAAAACACTGGTCGGATCTAGGAAGGCAGGGAGAGTTAAGGCAGAGGCATAGAAATTGCTCTTCCCCTCTCTCGTCAATCCATGTCTATGGTCTTTAAGATAACTTGTTATGTAAAATTATTTATTTATCTAAGATGCACCTACACTGAATTTATCTGAAAAATAAAAAAGTCGATATTAAGAAAAAAATTGTAAATGGAAGATTATAAGAGAGGGTTTCTCGTGCTGGCAAAAGTTACTGGCGTGCCATGTTCGGCATGCGTGCCAGGGGTTGCCCACCCCTGCCCTAACCCCAATTTCTGACTTTCAGAGGCCTTGCCCTGGGCGCCCAGAACTTGCAACGTGCCCGACTTAGCCATACCCCCGCCTTAGCAACACCCATCACAGGGCCGTTTCCCCTGCATTCCCTCTTTAAATCCTCACCACAACCCCGTGGGATCAGCGCGACAATTACTCCTATTTTCCAGTTAACAAGTTACAGTTGAGGCGCCTGGCCTGCGACCGCCCAGAAAGAAGCTGGCGGGGTCAAGGCGGGAGCCCACATCAGGCTAGAATCCCCGCTCCTTCCCAACCACGCCGCGCGGTCGCTTAAACGTAGCAGCGGTCATATGCGGGGCCAAGGCCTTGAACGCGGGACCCGCACGCACCCTCACGTCACCGGCTCCTCTCTGAAGCAAGACCTCCGCTCCCCAAGACGAGGCGAGAACCTGTGTCTGCGGTCGGCCGGCCGCGCTCTTTTCGTATGTGCTGTACCATAAGGCCCAGGGGTAGTTATAACGTTGAGCATCATTTTCCGAAGTGCCTTCCTTTGCTACCCCTGGCCTTCAGCAAGCCAGCCTTCCCCCCTCTCCTGCGCCCTGGTGACTGTGTAATTGCAGTTAGCTAGGGAATTGGAACCCACAATCACTTGGAACACTTCATCAGCATTGTAGCGTGAACCTGGGCCTGGACACAGACCCCAGAGTCTCTGATTGGCCCACATCACCAGACTCAACCCAATGGCTTTTCTAAGATGTTGGAGCTGTGAATGGCGAAATTCAAGATTAGTTCCTCACTTATTTAGCAAGTATTTCATGAGAACTTGCTAAGTGTTAAGTGCTGGGACAGGTTAAAAACTGAGTTCATGGTCCCCATCTTCAAAGACGTGGCAGTGATGTGGACAGGGTAGGACACTTAGATTGAGCGTGAGCCATCCACAGGTAGCTTGCTTTCCTTGATGAGCAAATATTGACTGAATAGCTGCTTTGTTCCCTGGAGCAGCGAAGGTAAATATCAGTGCTTTGTCAGGGGCATAGCCGGTTCTTCTATTAATACAAAAAGAGAGCCAGCTTTATAAGTTCATTTCCCCCTCCTTTCCTCTCTCAGCCCTGAAAGGTTACTAGTAGCTAAAAAGTCATTGGTCTTTGTTTATTGATATTCGTTGTAACCTGTCTAGGACTATGGCAGGTGCATTGAAATCCTGGTTCTGCCATTTGCTGGCTTTGTGGCCTTGGGTAGATATTTCAGCTCTCAGCGGTAGCGTCTCTCTGTAAAGATGGATAACTGTGGCCATTTTGCACATAGCACAGTGCCTAGAACCGAATAGTCATTCCTTTCTCCTCTTTGTTCCTTTCATTTTCTTCTCTTTTTCATTGGTGTTGTTCTTTACTGCCTGTGCTGATTCTGTTAACATTGTTTTAGAAACCAAGCCATTCCTGAATCCTGATGTAGCTAAGTATGGCTTTTCATTCTTGTTTATCAATCACACATTCGCCCCATCAGCCTCCAGGAAAGAGCAAGTGGAGAAGGTCGCAGATCTGCCTCCGGAGAGGAGAGGGGGCTGTTGGGAACCTCTCCAGCCCCGAGGCTCAGGGCCCCTATACCTTATACTAATTAGATAATCTGATTAGATAGTTAATTTTAGAAGTCTGGTCAGATTAAACCTTGATTTCACTGCAACCAGGGTTTATTTTTACTTTCCTTAAAGTAGTCCAAATTAACTTTTTAAAACAGGATAATGTTTGTAAAATTTTAAATGTTCCAAGCTCGCTTGCCAAAGTAAGTGAGTTTGGCAGCCGGATTGAGCGAAGGCCTGTTTTATTAGCAGCACTTCTTTTAGAGGCTTTTTTATGTTATAAATGAGCAGGTTTTAGAGTGTGCAGTGCCTCGTGGAATGCTTTGCGCACAGCCTGCAATACATTTCAGAATACGAGCTTTGGTCATCTTGTATTTTAACCATCAATGTCAAGAAACAATGCCCTTCTTATTTTATAAAATTAATTAATATAACATTTTGCCGTGAAGTAATATGTTCTTTACTCCCTTTCCATATTATTGCTTAGCAGGTACTGAGAGGGAAGAACAAAAAAGAAATGATTCAAATTTTCCTTTTTTCGTTGTGGTTAAAACTAAAGTTTAAAAAACGTAAACTATTTGGCAAACAATAAAAGGTAAATGTCATTGTTATGAATCAGCTACAGCTCTAATTCCAGGAAAAAGGCAATTATCTGTGATATCTTCTCAAACTTCAGTGGATTGTTAAGTGTAATTTAAAAGAATTTATAGTACTTCATATTTATAGGAGAACTTTGATTGCTGTACTATTTTGTGTTCTTTTCAGCAAAATTGACTCTACAAAATTATATCTTTTTAAAAATATATTTTTATTCATTTCAGAGAGAAAGGGAGAGGGAGAGAGAGATAGAAACATCAATGATGAGAGAGAATCATTAATTAGCTGTCTCCTGACCGCCCCCTACTGTCATCGAGCCTGTATCTGGGGCATGTACCCTGACTGGGAGTCTGACTGTGACCTCCTGGCTCATAGGTCCTGGCTCAACCAGAGTCACTCTGGCCGGGCTCTTTTTTTAAATATACAAACCAGACAATCAACCAATTGCTTGGTGTTTGGGAGTTTGAAATACAGCCTATTGCCTGGGGCATATTTGGAACCAAATATTTGTTGAATGAGTGATTACCCAAAATATATATATATCAGGAAACAATTTTTTTTAATTTACGAAGCTTAAATGTATTTTTTTTTTTAAAAAAACAACCCTCACAAAGTTAGTCACTGCTTATAGTCTAGTAGGAAAGAGATGATCAAGGCAGAAATAACCACACTCTCTGAGGACCAAAATCAAAATGTAGCGGCTCGGGGAGTCCCAGAAAGGAAAGGGGGGCATAGGAGA